CATGCAAATTCTTCTGCTAGTTGGGGTTTAGTCCACTTTTGTATCCTTCCCTTCAAGGCTCAGGGGTCCAAGATTATCTTCTGTGTCTATGTTAATTGGTTTCCCTTTTCTTTGTTGAAGAGCATCTGTGCAGTCCTTCTGCCTAGTCCGCCATCTTGCTGGAACTCCCCTACATCCTCTTCTGAATCCAGCTTGCATTTCTGGAAGTTCTCTGTCAATAAACTGCTACAACCATTTCTGAATTATCTTCAGTAAGATTTTACTTTCATGTGATATTAATGGTATTGTTCAATAATTTCCACATTCTGTGGGATCACCTTTCTTTGGAATGGGTACAAATATGGATCTCTTCCAGTCAACTGGCCAGATAGCTGTCTTCCAAATCTCTTGGCATAGCCAAGTGAGTGCCTCTAGCACAGAATCCATTTGTTGAAACATCTCAATGGGTATTCCATCAATTCCTGGAGCCTTGTTCTTTGCCAATTCCTTCACTGCATCTTCAACTTCTTTTAATACCATTGGTTCTTTATCATATGCCACCTCCTTAAATGAATGAAGATCAACCAGTTCTTTTTGGTACGGTGACTCTGTGTGCTCATTCCACCTTCCCTTGATGTTTCCTGCATTGTTTAATAATTTGACCACAGAATCTTTCAATATTGCAACTTGAGGCTTAAAATTTTTCCTCAGTTCTTTCAGCTTGAGAAATGTTGATCATGATCTTCCCTTTTGGTTTTCTAACTCCAGGTCTTAGCACATTTCATTATAATAATTGGCTTTTTCTTCTCAAGCTGCTTTTTGAAATTTTCTGTTCAGCTCTTTTATCTTGTCACTTCTTCCATTTGCTTTAGCTACCCTCTGCTAAAGGGCAAGTTTCAGAGTCTCTTCTGACATCCATTTTGGTCTTTTCTTCCTCTCTCGTCTTTTTAATAATACAAAAACATTGTTCAAACCTACCAGCCACTCCTTGGAAGGAAGATGGGGCAATCTATTTCTGTAGTGATACTGCCTCGGCAACCCAAGGAGAGGTTGCTATGAGTCGGGTCCGACTCAATGGCACATGACAACAACAACAACAACAACACCTTACTTTGCTGAGTAGGGACTGGGGTCTTAAAAGCTTGCAAGCAACCAGAAGAACTAGATGGTATCTGGCTACCACTGCCAAACACTCGGAGGGGGATCTATGTAGGAAATCCAGACAGAATGGGAGAACAATGTGGAGCAAAACTCAAAATCATTGAAAAAATAAAAATAAAAGGACCAGATTTGCTAGTCTGATAAAAGCTGGTAGAACCCCTGAGACTATGGCCCCTAGCTGCCCTTTAGGTCTGGAATTGAACCCACTCTTGTGGCTTCCAGACAAACAAAAGACAGGCATATAAGCTGAACATTAACATTACGTAGACACTCTCCTTGGAGACATCAATCACGGGGGAATAGAAGGGCTGTGTATGCACAGGAAGACAGCTCGGGGGGCAGGAGTGCATGGGAGGGAAGGATACAGGGAAAGGGTAACTATGGGAGGAAGTGGGAAGAGAGCTGTTGCATTGTGGGAAATTGCAGTCAATGTCATGAGACAAAGTGTATGTGAATTGCTGTATGGAAAATGAATTTGCCCTGTAAACTTTCACCCAAAACACAATAATAATCAAAATAAATAAATAAATAACTTGCAAGTAGCCATCTAGATGCAACAATGGGTTTCTCCTCATCTGGAGCAAAGAGTAATGAAGAAAACCACAGATGCATGGAAACAATCAGTCCAAAGGACTAGTGGACCATGTAGGCAAACCTCAGTCTACATGACCATGAGACCAGAAGAACTAGATGGTGCCCAGATACCACTGTCAACCACTCAGAAAGGGATCAGTGCAGGAGATACTGGTTAGAGTGGGAGAAAAATGTAGAACAAAACTCAAAATCATTTAAAAAAAAAGAGACCAGGCTTGCTAGTCTGATAAAGATTTGTGAAACCCCCCAGACTACGGCCCCTAGTCACCCTTCAGGCTTGGAATTGAACTCACTCCCGTGGCTGCTAGCCAAACAAAAGGCATGTAAGGTGAAGATTTACACCAGGTAGGTACATCCCTTAGAATAATCAATCATGGCAGATCAGAAGGGCAGTATCTGCACAGGGAGAGAACTCAGAATGTAAGACTACATAGGAAAGAAGGACACAGGGAAAAGGTAACCACAGGAAGGGGGGGCGGGGAAGAACAGGTACTGTTATGCTCAACTTAAAGCAAATATTCATTCAATTCATAGCATTTTATTTAGCTAACAAATATTTGAGGAATATATGGAGATAGTTCTCAAATATTTGTTAGCTAAATAAAATGCTATGAATTGAAGGAATATTTGCTTTAAGTTTAGCATAATAGTACCTTTTTTTTAGGCACTGTGGTTTCAAAAAAAGGTAAAAAATAGTGTTTTGGTTGTTCTCAAGGAGCTTTCAGCCTAATGGGAGAAGCATACAGTAAAAAATTTATTTATCCTAAGTGTGGTAAGTGCTATGACAGAGCTATGCACTGAGTGCCCTAAATGCACAGAGGAGATGCACCAAAATGGATTGAGGATGGTTGCACAACATAATTGATCTGACTGAAATGCGGTATTGGCAAAGAATAGTGAAAATACCATGGACTGCCATAAGAATGAACAAATTTGTCCTGGAAAACGTACAGCCAGGATGCTGTTTGGAAGAAAGAATGGCCAGACTTCATCTCACCCACTTTGGTCATATTGTTATAAGGCATCATTGCCTGGAGAAGAATATCATGCTTGCTAAAGTGGAGGTTCAGCAAAAAAGGGGAAGACCCTCAATGCAATGGATTGACACAGTGGCTGCTATAATGGGCTTGAGTATGTCAAGGATTGTGAGGATGGAACACAACAAGGTAATGTTTCGTTCTGTTGTACACAGGGTTGCTATGAGCCTGAAATGACTTGACAGCACCTAACAACAATGATATACATATTATCTA